TTAACCTCTGTGCCACAATTTATAATAGCTAGATCTTGGAAACAACCAAAATGCCCATCAACTGAGGAATGGATAAAAGAAAGATGTGATATTTTTATATAATGGAGTACTACTCAGCCATGAAGAAGGATAAACTGGAGACTTTTATAGGTAAATGGATGCAACTTGAGACCATACTCGTAAGTGAAATAAACCAGATGCAAATGTGGAAACATCGTATTGTCTCCCTAGTGTGAGAAGACAAAAGAGTAAATAAGATCCAAAAGGTACAACAGAGATTGTGAAATCAAAGAAAACTTCAAAAGGTAAGAGAAACTGGTTTGGGGGAAGGGCAAAGCAAAAGGAAAAAACATACATACATATATATATATACACACACACACACACACGCACACAAAAGATACTTTAAAACAGTTATATTACTAATTTCTCTCAGTTCATTAAAGAGCTAGGTCTGTTCTAATATTGTTTGGACAATTAAATGCTGGTATCTCGTACTCTGAGTAACTAATTTAAAAATAACAATATGAATTGTACTAACCACTGTTACCCTCCTATCATATTTTTTGGAATTTTGTTTTTTGTTTGTTTATTTCTTATTTATTGTTTCTTTTTCTTTAAATTAAATTTTTTTTAAAAAATCTCTGTGTCAATGGTCCCCTCCAGACTGGACAGACCAGGAAAAAAGAAATCAAGAAATTTTCAGAAACCAACAGAAGACTGATAGCTTTAACAAAAATGGATTATTTCATGAAAGAAAAGGCATTCTTAATATGAAGACAAAGGGGAAAATCTCAGTGTAAATCCAAGAAATGGCAGTGCCCTTCTACTCAGGGTGCATGAAACACTTGTAACACAGCAGTCCTTGTCTTTCTCAGCTCACCCTGTACCTGCACAAACTTCACACTGCTCTCTAAATCAACTGTGAAGACCACTGCTCTATCCTGTCATGCCACGAAAAGCCTAACATGCACTTGCAGTCTCATTTATAATTTGCAGAAAGTTTCATTTAGTAATAGCTATCTAAAACACTACTACAATTTTAGAAACTGGAATTCAGTTAAGCCCATGCTGAAGTCTGCATGGGAAAAAGAGAATTACTAACTACAAGGCCCCCACATCTTGAACTGAGTTAACCAAACAAAAGGAGCAAGGTGGACGCTGCTGAGCTCTAAGATCCAAAGCCCTGCAGAGTTCCCTTGCCCCTCACTAGCAGTTCACTCCACAGTTCCACATTTGCCTGCCCAATATGACAACGCCAGTGGATAAATTCTGGATTCACTTTGTGATCTTCCTCTGCCACATAAAAAGGTTTCAAAAACCTGGTTCAAGGAGTCAAAGTGCAAACAAGTCTTCATTAGAACCTTTCCTGATAATGTCTGCTTTCCTATGATACGGTCTCACCAGCTAATATGACCAAAATGGGGCTAAGAATAACATCAAGATGTTGGAAATGAAATATGTCTGTTCTCATTGAAATACCTGAATATCTGACCTGAACCCCACTGCAGAACATATAGTGGAGACAGGCTGGTGGATACCTAACTGAAATGGGATATAATGCTAAATGCCAAAACAAAAGCACCTTACCCTAAGCTGGATGCTCAGGGAGAAAGCCACATATAGTCAACAAATATTTATTGCTAGACATTGTTCTAGGCCAGTGGTTCCGAACTGAGTGATTTTGCCCATTGAGGGGCATGTGACAATGTCCGGAGACACTTTTGGTGGAAGGGGCAGTGTTGGCCTTGAGCAAGAAGAAACCAGAGATGGTGCTAAACATCCCGCAATGCACAGGAAGGCTGCACATCACAGGGAGTTATCTGGCACAAAACAGCAGGAGCGCTGAGACTGAGAAAGTGTGTCCTAGGCTTCGGGGATGCAACAGTGAACAAAAAAGAAAGAGAAGCCCCTGCTCCCTGGAGCCTGCAGTCTAGTGTGGAGACACACACAACAAACAGAACCTACCAGCAAATTACAGAGTAGGCTATAAGTACTATGGGAAAAAAAACAGCTGGACCAGGAAGACAGTGTGGAGTCAGAGCAACTGCAAGTATTGTGGTCACAGAAAGCCACACTCTGCATGTTCAGTGACATTTACAGTAAGATCGTATTGGTCCACACGCGGCTAGTGCTGGGGCTGTCTGGACAAAGGCTAGGCCTGGCAGAAGCAAGTGCAACATACAAACGCCCAAAGGTGCGTGGATGTGGGCCTTCCAGGAACAGTGAGGAGACGAGCCCGGAGCACAGGGAACTGCAAGAGATGGGGTCAAGCTGACCGTGTGGCCTGCCTTATGCCCCTTTAAGGATTCCAAGTTTACTACAAAAAACTAGGTGCCATGCAGGACTCTGGGCAGAGAAAGACGTGATCTGACTTGAGTTTTAACACAGGATTTCTCTACCTCAGCTCTATCCACAGTTTGGGGTCAGATGTTTTTGAGGGGACTGTCTTATGTACTAACGAATGGTGAGCAGTGGCCCTGGATTAGAGGACAATGACAAGCTCCTTCCACTATCATGATCAAAAACGTCTCCAGACATTGCCAAAGGATGGGGGTTTGGGCAAAAAATGAATCTTGTTTGAAAATCAGTTTTATCAAGAACACTGAGGCTAAGCTGAAAATCCACTCTCAGTGGGTAAGGGTAAAAAGCAGGAGACCGACTATTAAGCGACAACTACCATAACCCAGGCAGGGCTGACAGACAGCAGTCTGGTTCAGAGTGCTGGCAGAACAGTTGGCAAGAAATGGGTGGATTCTGGACACACTTTCAACTCTGGGGGACAATACAAAGAATACAACTGAGAGATAATCCCACTCTAGCAGCCTGAATCTTTGAACTACAATTTTCCCCAATCAGGACTTGCAAGAAGTGAAACGGCTGAGCAAAGATTTAAGAAACAATGAGAAGGCCGCAAAGGGCGTGTATCCTTTTAAAGTCACACAACAGATGCCGATGACAATACCTGAGACAACTGTGGAAAACACTACAGGGAAACGCTGCCAACTCCCACTATTTCTTCACAGATTTTATTTAACTAGTTTATTTCAAAGAGAACGTGTCTGCTCCACATACAAGTTTTACAACAACTTTTTAAATTTAGTCTTCCTTTTCCATACTGCTGCTGTCCCACACCTGCTTCCGGCACCAGCGCATGAAGCCATCTCTTCCCACAGACCCATTTTTCCTTACACGTGCCTGCTGGCCAGCGAGCTACGAAGGACGTGCACCCTCGCAAATACTTTCTGACTCTGAGAAAGACCAGGCCCAAACCCTTGCACATGAACGCGGTGGCACTCATCCGGACTTTTCCGGATGGTATTTCCTTCACTCCCTCAAAGTCATTTAATGTTATGTATCAGTTACCATCAAAAATGTTCCAAACAGGCCGGTTAATTCATTTCTTTCAGGACTACACACACACACACACACACACACACACACACACCCGCTCCCTCATTCTAGCCATGTAAGCATTTGCTTATAGAAGCAAAAGCAGAGACTGCTCAGTAAAACACTAGTCCCTTCAGCCGAATGCAGATAAAGTCCCCATGAGCATAACCAACAATACCCCTTACACAATATTACTCAAAACCCCCAGCCCCCAACACACACAAGCTATGCTCACACACAAAATAGCCATTATGAAGAGAAGCCACCAGCTAAAGGCTGGTTTTATGCACCCTTCCAATCTGCATTAAGCATCTGCAAAAAAGGCTGCGTCAGTAAGGGCTGCCCAGGGTCTGCTCTCCCCAGATTTTCTTCCCCAACTTAGATTCTGAGTCTGGCCACAGCCCTGGAAGAACCACACTTGGCTCCACTTTCGGTCAGAAGAAGAACCAGACTTGTTTTCTTCGGGAGGAGGATCCCACCACCTTGCTCCTGACTCGGTTGCCTTTTTGCACTCCCCCTCCCCACCCCGATTTCTGGACCTTCTCTTCCTCTGCCGGCCAGGCCCATCCACCATCCACGCAGGCCCTAGTCACAGAGAGGCGGTCCCAGGAGGCGAACACCGGTGCTGCCCAGCTCGATTCTACCATTTACACAGTCCTAGCTCACGGACAGCGATGGAAACAAACCCTTTCCTGCTACCGCGGCCTCAAGCAACCATCTTCCTCGCATTGAGAAGAGAGGTGCGAGGGGTCCCGGGTGACCACAGGTCAAGGGGAAAGGACAGAGCCAACGCACTCAGCCACTCAAGTGGGAATGGAGGCGCCAAAGAAAGAGTGGGAGTGGGGGGCGCCGGATCAGCGGGTGTCTTCATTGCGCTCCCAAAGTTTTTCAAGCGCCTGGCGAACTATAACTCGTGCCGCTGCCAAAAGGGGCACCCGATAACCGCAAGGCTTTCTGCCCTCCCGAGCAAGGCCTGGGTTGGCCCCGCGGCGCGGACCGCCAGCCCCGGCCGCACGCGGAGCCACGCCCCCT